AAGGCATTTAACTTGTTTAAATAATTCTTAACATGTCACTTTCCTAGTTTAGCTTTAGATCCTACTCCATTGATATTCACTCTGTTAGGCGTCTGAACACTGCTAACTTTTTTGGTGAAAACAAAGTAAAAAAGGCATTTAACACTTTGGCCATTGTTGCATTTTCTGTCATCTTTCACTCCTTATTTAGTAATAGGCCTACCCTGTCCCCAGTCTTCCTCTTGCTTCTCTTGTTACCCTTTATATCTTTAGCTAGGTTACCCTCTTTTTCTGCCTTAGCCTTTCTAATTTTGTCCCTACATGTTCTTGCTCTTGTGCCCTTAGTAATATCTCTTTAAAAAACTGCCTATTCTCCTGAACTCTTTTTTCCCCCTCAGGCTTGCTTCCCACAAATCTTACCTACCGATTCTCTGAATTTGCTAAACTTTCCCTTCTTGAAGTCCATTGTCTTTATTCTGCTGTTTTCCCTCCTACCATTCCATAGAATCATGAACTCTTATCATTTCATGATCATTTTCACCCAGCCTGCCTGCCACCTTCAAATTCTCAACTAGTTCCTCCCTGTTTGTCAGAACCAAATCCAGAAGAGCCTCTCCCCTAATTGCTTTCTCTCCCTTCTGTAATAAAAAAAAAAAAAAATAGTGGTCTCCACTATATTCCAAAAACTTGTTGGATAGCCTATGCCCTGTTTTATTATTTTCCCAAAAGATGCCTGCGTAGTTGGAGTCCTCCATCACACCAAGTCCTGTGCTTTGGATGATTCTGTTATAATTTTGGATGATCTTCACTTGGTGTAAGTTGTGTCAGATCCAAATACTCCAATGAAGTTTTAACAATTTGCATCAGCTAATAATTGGGCACCAGAGATCTGCTAAATAAGTTGAACAATTGAAAAATCTACATTCATCTAAATCTGAGTCAAAATAAGATTTTAATCACCTGAATTTGTTTTTCATTTTTGGTCTCTCATTTACACAATAGAATCTCCTCCCGGATCACAGATGCCAAAACAAACAAGTTTATAAAAAAGGAGGGGGGGGGGGGGAGAAAATGACAACCCTGGTTACTTTCCTTAAGACTTTTTTCATCACTTCAGATAAAAGGATTAAAAAGTAAGAGGTTAGTTGTGAGATTTTCCATTGCTTCCATGCACATTAGTCACCAAAACTCTAGGACTGAAATAGAACATACATAACTAGTCTCTCTAAAGTTACTTATGTATCTAAAAATACTGTACTAGGGATGGAGATTCATACATTCATACAGATGATGCATACATTTTAATTCCTCTGCTTATTTTTAAACTTTAAATTAGCATACCAGTAATAAAAAGTCATTAATTTTTCTTTCCCCTTCAGGCGAAGCACACTGAACTAATACTGTTATTAAAAACAAAGTGCTTGATACATACTAATCAATAACAGCTTGATCATATAAAACTCATTAAAAAACATGGACTATACATTGTAACATTCCTAATGGGTTTGGCCATCTGAATACATGTATTTTCTTTTGAGAGAAAGGCAGAAGGCAAGTTATATGCAGAAGTAGAATTGTGCTTCTGTAAGTTTACAACAATGACAGAAAACCATATGCTAATTGAAACTCAGCTGGATAACAAACCAAAGATTACAAACATTAGAAATTACTTCAAGAAGCTATTGAGACTCCCATTCAAAATTACATTTGATTATAACTTTGAACCCTGCATTTCATGGAGCAATTATGTGTCGTTTTGTGGAAAACCAATATACACACATGCTCTTTCTGTGCTAAAAGGGCTTTGGATTCTGGTAATGAAGTGGTGCCATGTGTTTGGCAGTATTTAATAGTCAAATAGTAACTTTAATATTTCCTTATTTCTTAATAGATTATGCATGAACTATACCATCAGTACACTGCACCTTCATATTCATTAAAACACATTTCCATTAGACTGATATAAGACATATTCAATTTTTGCAAATGTTTACTAATTGTAATTAAGGCATATTACTGTAAAGGTTTATTAAGTCAGGCATCTCCATCTGCATTCACATGTCTTGATTTTCAGAGGTGCTGTAAACCTACTGCTCCCACTGACATTGGTGAAATTTGTGTCCCCTCTCCACCTCTGAAAAGCAGGTCCCTTTTATGAAGGTGTGTAAATACCTAATGCCAAGCATCCACATTGGTATTTTTCAGTCTAAATTACTAAAATGCATATTTTGTTAATCTTTAAAAAAGTCTTATTTTGCAATGCTGCTTTTAATTTTTAAGAAAAATACTTTTTAATAAAGGCAACTTGTCAAAGTATATAATTCTTGCTTTCAATCTATGATAATGTTCTGGGGCTTAGGATCCAAATCCTTAAACCCACTGAAATCCACAGATGTTTTGCCCTTCCCTTCTATGTGGCAGCAAGTCTTTTAGTCCCTCATATTGACAAAAAAATCCTGCAATAAATATTCAATACAAAAGATGACATTTTTGTACAACTGTCCAGGGACCAATGCTGCTCCAACTAAAGTCAGTGGGAAATTTCAGCCCTTACTGTTTCAGGCATAATACATATCTACAAGGGAAGACTAATTGTGGCTTTTGATTGAATGGTAGTGAGCAACCTTCACCTTTAACACTGAAATACTCCAAATTACTGTGCATTAGTTTTCAACCTACACAGCAGCTAAGGTTTTAAGATAATTGCTGTACAGATTATTCACAGTTTAAGAACTGGGCTTTAAAACTAAAAGCAGTGGAATAACATGTCTTAAACCCAATACAGAATCTGCTACATTTAAGACTATCATTTGCTAGTGAATGTTTAACACATTAACCATTACAACAACCCCCATCATTTTTATATTGAACACTGTGTTTAAAATAAGGGTATGTACTTGTATATCCCTTTGAAAAAGTAAATTCTATAATACAATACACACATATTGAGACACATTCAGAAAGTTTTAAGCACACAGAATACAAGCTATACATCATATAAATGCTAAAGTCAGAGAGAATCACATATACTGGTTAAATATTAAAGCAAATTTCCAAAGATTAGACCAGCTTGACTTGGCTATCACTAATAACCTTAGCATAACTAAAGCACATTGTGTATACACACACAAGTATATCTGTGATTTTCCTTCTGCTTTTTAAAATTACAGAATTTCACAACAGATATCAGTGTTTATTTATCCTATGAGAATAAATTTAATCAACCTTTATCCAGTTGCCTGGGAGTAATACTATAGAGAAAGTATGGGCAAGAAATTGATACTATTTAACTTTAGCTTCTCTAAAAGCTTCTTAAAAGATGTGTGAAGATTGGTAAGTCATTATAAGCCATACAAATAATCAATTCCAATTATTTAAACAGGGTAAAGTGAGATATAACGTAATACTAATAACCAGTTTTATGTATTGATTTCTCACCGTTGATTAAAAATGTAGCAACTACACTTAAAATGACAATCATAATTTCAGTTATGTCCTCTGAAAAATGGCATATCAATAAATTAAAATGTTTATTAAATACAAAGATTTTCCATAGTCAATGATATCAGATTGCCTTCATTTATTAAATTAGAGAAACGTATGAACAACCATCAGAGGGCATCATTTAAAAATCATTTTTAGAATATGCAGTCAAAGTGGCAAGTTTTTCCAACTCCCTGAATCAGTTACCCTTCCTAATGCACCTTTATTGTTAAATATATTAGAAGATTCCATTTTTGTTAGTATGGAATTGCAACTGTATTAGCAGCATTTGAATGATTATTATAACTAGGATGAAACACACAACTGAATTATTTTTAAAAAGTTGACATTCTCTTGAGGAAAGTTAAGTCTTATTGAAATATTATATTGGTAGGACTTTAAAGTGTGTGGTCTTGCAATGTAGTTTAGCAACTGATCTAACGAAGGATGATATAGATACAATGATCCATACCGCAAAGCATTCAGTAGCTATTTATTTAGGCTGTGTTCTTCCAGACCATATAGCATCCATCATTCCTGGCAAATCTATTAGTGATTTTCCTACTTTCCAACACTTCATAAGGAAGCAGTGAGAAAAGTAACTTTTTACACTGTGTTCTAACTTAAGCCAATGGCCATAGAGAATATGTACACACGCTACATACTGTTATTGAAAACAAAGTACTTAATACAATAGCAGCTTGGCAGCTGATTCCTGTACATAGACACACATCTGGCTTTAAAGTTAACCCTCAAAAGCCAAAGGTGCAGCGTAAAGGAACAGGACTAAACTCAGCCAACCTTTTAGGAACATTTAACAAAAAGAGCATTCCAGCTTTAGTTTGTGTAGCCGTAATGCAATGAAAGTTTCTTGTATTTGGAGAGGGTATAAATTACTCCCCCTCGACTATCAGTGAGAGCAGGAGCTGTAAGTGAACTAAAGGTAAGGCAGCTCCGATGAAGAGTGAAACTCCCGCTTGGGAAGATGTATTTGTGCGTGTATAGTCAGATGAGAGAGATACACGCACCTTTCACAGCAGCAGAGAACAGCTCACCTGAAAGAGACACAACGCGTAGCGGCCAGTTTCCCACGGGAACTTTTTATGATGATTACCGAACAACAATCACTCTGCACCTAAGCGACCCCGCGCCGCGCTTTGCCGCAGCTGCACAACCCTAAGCGGGCAGCCGGCTCCCGGTGCCGCGGTTTACACTGCAGCTCCACGCACCGACTGCAAAGGCAGAGCGAAGCCGGCAAACCCTCCTACGTCTCGTCCACCGACTCCCCCTGGCTTCGCTGCCCTCTTAGCCTCGCGCCTCTCACAAACGCGTCCTGCCATGCCCAGAAGTTAAAGCCCCCCTAGAAGCCGCCGGGGAAACAGGCGGGCAGACCGGCGCTCCCGAGACAGGATCGCTCACCGCTGCCCGGTTAAGGGCAGGCAGGGGACATGGGGACCCAGAGTTGCTCTCGGGACTGGGCGGAGTGAGCCCGCAGCGCGAAGGAGGGAGAGGGGAGAAAGAGACCGCCGTGTACTTGCCCAGGTGGGGACGAGGAGGCTGGCCGGGCGCTCAAGCGGAGCTGGAGGCGGCTGCTTCCCCGCCACGTTCATTTCCTCCCATGCAGCTGGATTATTCCTCTCTGAACGGCGAGCGCAGCAGGGCTTGGACCAGGCATTGACTCCCGCCCCGCCCCCGGCAGCCGCGTCCCAGCTCCGCGGGCGGCGGCGGCGGCAGCGGCGGCTCCTAGAGCAGGAGGAGAAGCCGGGCGCCGCCCGGAGAGCTAGGCTCGCCTTCGGGCTGAGCAGCCCGGCTGGCCTGCGTGGAGCTCGCCCCTCGGCTCTCCGCGGACGGGGCGTCCACACGCCCGCTTTAACTTCACCCTTCCGCCGGCTGCAGGCGCCGCTGCTCCCCGTCCTCTGAGGACAGGTTCCCCAGGCAAGCGCTTCCCCGCCGGGCTCGGGCTCCCTACCCAGCCCTGCCGCACCGGGCTGGCGGCATCGGAAGCTTTCCCCCTGGCCCCTCAGGCGAGGGGGGCTACGCACGTGTATGCTTGACTATGAGGGGGAAACGTGTCCCCCGGCCCTGTATGCACCCAGGTGCCTCAATCAGGCCCCTGATGGCGGGGGAAAGGCGGGGGCTGCTGCCTCTGACGGGTTCTTCTACAGCCCCAGGAGCCGCTTCGAGCGGGTCCCGCCAGCCGGGGCTCCCTGAGCCGCTGCTTACCAAGCCCAGCTGCAGCTGCTCAGCAGCACCCCCGGTGACAGCTCGCGGCATTGCACGGGGCGGAGAGTAGTTCTCGCTCCTCCCGCCCGCTTTCCTGCCAGGAGTAATTTACATCAGCGGGCAATAGGCCTCACTAACCCAGGCATCAGCCCCACCGTTTAACCTCCCCACACACACACACTTCCTGTGGCTTGAGGGCTGTCAGCTGCACCACTGTCCTCCATGGGATATGTCTCCTCCAGTCCCTGCCTTTGACAGAGACGCTCCAACCCCGCCTTTGCTCAAAGTGGGCACAATGGGCTAGGGTTACCACCTGTCTGGTATGTGACCACCCTGGGTGGGTTTGTTTTTTTAATGGATTTGGCAGTTGCCAGAGGAAAAAATTTACTCTGCCAGATTACATGGCTCTTAAGATTTGTATGATCACAATACACTGGGTTAGCTAATATTAAAAGTTTCTGTGTCCAGCTACTGATGCTGCACTGTTCCCACTTCCACAGTTTGATAGCATCATGTTCTTACTTAATTTTATCTGTATGTGTTATCTTTCTAGATACTATAAGTGGCTGTTGAAGGGACAGGTTTGCGGAGTTGCCTTGTGTCTGGAGTTGTGGTGCCACTTGTGGGCTTGCCTTGTGAGGGTGCTGTGCTGGGTTTTTTTGTTTTTGTCGTCGTCCCCCCCCCCCCCACACACACACTTTATTTCAAAGGTGGTAACCCTAAACTGGGCTGGCCCAAAGGACGGGGGAAATGGAAATGCTTAACCCAAAGAGCACCCATACTCTGTGGAGTAGAGGGACAGTGACCAGGGAGGGTAGAAGACCTGGGTGCAGGTCAGGTAGTCACCTCCAGAAAACTGCAGTGTGTGTGAGAGGGGGCAAAAAGCCAGGACATGGAGGCAAGAAGGAGGAAGTGGTGGCTGGAGCCATAAGGCAGTAGTACTGGTGGCCTGGGGAGTGAAAGAGGTTGAGAAGGAAGAGAGCAGGAATCCAAGTAAAACAGGGGTGGGCAAACTATGGCCTGGGGGCTACATCTGGCCCTTCAGATGTTTTAATCCATCCCTCGAGCTCCCGCTGGGGAGTGGGGTCTGGGGCTTTCCCAGCTCCACATGTGCCCAGGAAGCAATGTCCCCTCTCCAGCTCTGAAGCATAGGGGCAGCCAAGGGGTCTGCACATTGCCCTGCCCCAAGTGCTGCCCCCGCAGCTCCCATTGTCTGGGAACCATAGCCAATGGGAGCTGCAGGAGCAGCGCCTGTGGATGGGGCAGCATGCAGAGCTGCCTGGCCGTGCTTTGGCATAGGAGCCAGAGGGGGGACATGCTGCTGCTTAACACTAAAGGGAATTTAAGCAACAACAAAAAAGCCACAGATGAGTGGCACTCTCTTTGGACACTAGCTGCTCCAGGCAGCTCCAAGTGCTGGGAAATCTGAGAAGGCAACAAATCTGGGAGTCAGCTGCTGCTTGTTACCATCTTGAGTGGCCGCTGGGCTCTGCAGAAGGGCCTGGCAATTCCCAGATACAGAGTTGATGGGCACGTGCCAGTGGGTGAAGTAGTTAGGCATTTGTGGTACACAGGACAGAGTTTGGTTGTACTATGAAGGAGGATACAGCACACACAAGTGAAGCTCTCCTGTGGGCCCTTGTAGATGCAGAAGTATCAAGCATGGGGACCTATAATAAACTTTTCTACAAATTTTTATCCGAAAATGGAGTCACACTTACTTATTTCCCTTTGAGCCTCCTGAATTAATGGCATGGCTAGTGTCCATGCTATACCTGAAGTCTCCTTACTACCCTCCCATCTTTCTCTTCATGCTATTTCATTATTCTATATTTTGTATAAGTAATGTGTTGAACTGAGAGGAAAAAGATGGAAATACCAGTAAAATGTAAATAGAAAAATAAAGGTCATATTAAATTACATTATAATATAAGGGGCTGAAATGGAAAATGTCTTAAGCAGATAAGTAGAATATGCAGTAGTTAATTTTCCCAATGTTTCCATTTGTCTATACCATTTACTTTTTAATTAAAATGTCTTTGTCAATTGGCCAGTCTAAATAAATCAGCCACTCAACAACAATATATATTTTCCTAGGACTCTTATCTTCCTAACCACATTATTTTAATTAAATTATTTATACAATTCAGTGAAAATTGCATAACATTTTTTGAATAGCTAAGAGCTGATGACATTTACTGTGTTCAGATTTGATGGATAAATTTCACAAAATTATATTCTACTGTATTGCTGTGCTGAAAATAGGTGGTTATATTTGATGTGGGGGAAAAATCGGAAGAAATAAAAGATTTGTGCAGTGAGAAATTAGAGGTAAGCAAATGTGCAATGTTCAAGGGTTTACAAAACTACCAAAGTATTATGGAGGTCTGAAAAATTAGTTTGAATCCACAAAGCTATTTATTTTTAAAAGACTATTGATTTTAAGAACTCCTAGCTAAGGGAAACCTGTGCTACCTATTAGGGTAGAACACTCTCACCTTGCCTGGGGATGCCACCTGTCTGTTTTTTACCCGGGCAGTCTGATTTTTGGTTTCTACATTCGGGTGCTGGTTTGGGTTGCAAGGTGCCTTGTTTTTGGGGACCTGGCAAACCTAAATGGCACCCAGACCAAAAGTTTGGTTACCGCGGGGTGGGGACAGGCACTGGGTCATTAACCCACACCAGGCAGGGCTACCTCCTACCTGCAGGCAGGCTCCTTGGGATGATCTAGCAAGCAATGTGGGGAGGGGGAAAGAGGAGCGAGTAATGGGGGGGCAGGAGCTTTGAGGAAAGAGGTGGGGTAGAGGGTGGGGCTTTGGGGAAGAGGCAGAGGTGGTGCGGAGCCTTGGGGGTACAGTTACCAGCAATCACGAATGTGGAAAACCAGTCCCCACCCACTTCTGAAATTTAGGCTCACATAAGTGTGGGACCTGCAGGTAAAATCCTGTATTCATTTTTTCATTAGAACTTTTCTGTCTCCCTTTCTCTGCTGAGTTTTTTTCTTTTTTTTTTTTCTTTTTCTTTTCAGTCTCACTGTGGTTTGGATCCTGCAAATTTGTCCTCTTTTTTTAACTCTCCTGAAGCACGTTAACACTTATTTAAAATATTGAAACTGAGTGTGGTGTTATATTGCTATATTAGTGTTGCCAATATGAGATTTTTTGTGGCGTCTCAATATATTAGGTATTTTTAAGCCCCAGCTCCTGGAGTCAGGTGAATACCTGAGTCTAATCTTTCATTAAAAACAAAAACAAAAAACCAATGTATGGGCCTCATGGTTGTATAGTAAACCTTGAGAATATGGCCTAAAAAGGCTCAAAAATCAGAAGGTAAGTAAAAGGAATCACAAGTTGGTTATTTTTAAAATCTTATGATTTTGAATGCTTGAGGATGGCACTAGTAGACTTTTTCTTGTAACACTGTCTTCACTGAAAATGAATCAGGAAATAATTTTAAAGTGTAATATCTGAACAAAATCTGTATTCATGGAAATGGAAGTGGATTCTTGATTAAAGAGTGCACCGTGTAGCAGGTCTGTCTATATTCTCTATCACTCCAAATTCCATGCACACAAATACACATGTACGTTTCACTGGCAGAACAGATTCTGAACATCTCTCCTACTATAATTATACAAAATGTATTTACTTAGGCAAATAGATGCCAAGGTTAAAGGATTTTTAAAGAAAAGCGTCTGCAAGACAGTAATGAGGTTTTCCAGGAAACATTGATTCGCTCCATTCAGACACTGCTAACATGTGCCCATGTCTAAACGAAAACATTCAAGCAGCTATTGAAATCAGGTTATCTTAGAATAAACTGAAACTTTATTAGATGTCATTTTTCTTTTTTATACCTTATTATCTGTAGTAGTCATCAAAACTCTAAACTTTTATATGTAATCTAACTGCTTTCTTTAAATTTTATTTTTAATACTCTTGTTTAAACAAAACATCATTTACTTTGGCAGTTCTCTTGTTTTGCTGATGAGGATCAGTGACATTATGTGAGAGCAGACCATTGTGGATTCCTCCAGGGAATAAAGAAATATCACTTGAATGGCTTGATTCCCTAAATCACACTAGTGTGTTGAGTATACATGAATAAAAACAAGGTAAGAATGATAAGCAGTCCAGGAAAACTGGATCCCGCATTAGTGAGAATGGCACTGTTCAGCCATCTATTTACTCATGTAGCCGAGACTGATGGGTGGCGGGGAGGACAGGGACAGAAAGAGTAAAAGGGGGGCCCTGCAGCTCAGTTGGAGGGGAGTTGGGACACAGATGTGTCCCATCCGTTGCTGAGCCCCAATGCCTGAGGACAAGCTCTGCAGCGCCGAGGATTGTCAGGTCAGCCAACTGACAGGAGCATGGATTTGCTACTGGGACTGCCACTGGTCATGTACCTTGGGGAGATGGAGGATCCCCACGAGACATAGGCACACTGCAACGTGGTCATAGGAAATCCCCTTGCAGCTGCCCTCCTCTTGGGTGGCCACCTACCCACCTTAGGCCAAGAGGCCTGCATTTGTTTGCCTGAGCCAGGAGGCCAGGCAAAAGATTGTGAATTTTTCTGCCCTACTCTGAGTGCCAGACCCCCTTTAAGACTGCCTGTGGCTCAGCCCCGCTTGTGGTGGGGGGAGAAAGGAGCAGAGCTTCATATACTGTCAGTCACTCAGCCCTGCCCAGAGCCTCACAGACTGCTTGTCGCTTGGCCCTGCAAGCATTAATTCCCCCTTAAGCTTTGTTGGACAGCCATGCAGTTGAGAGGGGGCATGCCCCGCATCCCCCCGCCGAGACTGATGGGGAAGAGATGACCACGGACCCTTACACTTCAGTTTAGTGGGAGGAGAAAGGCCAACTTGGAGTACATTAGTATATTGAGGATCAAAATTAGGGCCATATCTCAACCTTCTCTCCACCCACGCCTTTTTTTTTTATATATTCTTGAGAAAGGGAGTGGGCATATGAGACCTGTCATGCTTCCTTGTACTGCTTTTAAAGTGCAGAGCCCACACAACCAGAGGAGA